GATTATAGAAACAGATTCACAGCTGAACCAAATATTGGTGTTTTCAGACATAGATTTTAAAATAACTGTGATAAATATCTATAAGGAAATAGATCAAAAACGGGAAATTTCAGCCAAAAAACCACCATGAGATCTATAAAAAGAACCAAATTACAATTCCAAAACTAAAAATATATAACTAAAATTAGTAAGTTGTATTTAACAAGAGATTAAACACCACTGAAAGAAGGAAGAGGTTGGAATGATAGATTAGAAGACAATACCCAGATTGTTTTTGTTTTTGTTTTTGTTTTTTTGAGACGGAGTCTGGCTCTGTCGCCCAGGCTGGAGTGCAGTGGCGCGATCTCGGCTCACTGCAAGCTCCGCCTCCCGGGTTCCGGCCATTCTCCTGCCTCAGCCTCCCGAGTAGCTGGGACTACAGGCACCCGCCACCTCGCCCGGCTAATTTTTTTGTATTTTTTTAGTAGAGACGGGGTTTCACCGTGTTGGCCAGGATGGTCTCGATCTCCTGACCTCGTGATCCACCCGTCTCGGCCTCCCAAAGTGCTGGGATTACAGGCTTGAGCCACCGCGCCCGGCCCAATACCCAGATTATAACAAGAGAGAATATTTTTAAAAGATGGAAATATAGAAAAGAGTGTAAGAAACATATGGGACGATTAAAAGATCTAATATATTTGTAATTGGAGTCCCAGAGGAAAAGGAGAGAAAAAAAATGTGGCATAAACAATATTTGAAAATTACTGGCCGAGAATTTTCTAAGACTGATGAATGACGTCAAGCTACAGATTTTCAGACAGCCCTAAGCAGGATAAATGTATACTCAAGCATACCATATCCAAACTGCCAAAAATCCAAAACCAAGAGAAACACTTAAGGCAGCCAGAGAAAAACCTACATTATTTTCAACTTAGTAACAATAATATATAGATAACTTATCAGTAGAAATGATAAAAGTGATCAAAGTAATAATTGTCCATTTATTACCATTTATCGAAGATGCATGTGTAATCTCAGGAATAACCGCTAAAAGGATAGCAAAAAACTATATAACTAACACAATAATGTAAATAAGAAAACAAGGCTAGGCATGGAGGCTCACACCAGTAATCCCAGTGCTTTGGCAGGCCAAGGTGAGTGAATTACTTGAGCTCAGGAGTTCGAGATCAGCCTAAATAACATGGCAAAACTCCCTCTCTACAAAAAATACAAAAATTAGCCAGATGTGGTGGCACACGCTCGTGGTGCCAGCTAATCATGAGGCTGAAGTAGGAGGAGTGAAGAGTGAGTACCACTGCACTCCAGCCTGGGCAACAAAGTGAGACTCTGAAAAAAAAAAAAAAAAGGAAGGAAGGAAGGAAGGAAGGAGAGGAGGGAGGGAGGGAGGGAGAGAGAGAGGGGGAGAGAGAGAGAGGGAGGGAGGGAGAGAAGGAAAGAAAAAGAAAGAAAGAAGAAAACATACTTGATTAACTCGAACTGGGCATGGTGATGGGCGCCTGTAATCCCAGCTACTTGGAAGGCTGAGGCAGGAGAATCGCTTGAACCCTGGAGGCAGAGGTTGCAGTGAGTTGAGATCGCACCACTGCACTCCAGCCTGGGCAACAGAGCAAGACTCTCTTAAAAAAACAAAAACAAAAACAAAAACAAAAGTACTGAATTAACTCAAAAGAAGAAAAGAAAGGAGGACAAAAGGAGCATCTGGAAGATACAAATAGAAAACATGTAGTGCACTGAAGCCCCAAAATATTATTAATTACATAAAAGGATAAAATACTAAATCTTTCTATTGAAAACAAAAATTGTAAAACTATTGATAAGATCTTAATGTCTACATATATTTATATTATCCTGAAGACAAACATAAAGTTTCTAAATTGGAGAAGACTATTATTACTTACAGCAATAACTACATCAGTTTCCCATGCCCAATTCTCCCACTGAGAGGTAGGGCAATGAGACCCCCAGATGGTTAGGCCTGTGCATGCAAGGCGGGGAGTGGGGTGGTGGGGCGGCGGTGTGGTTTCTGGTTTGTGGCTTTACATGAGATAAGTCTCAAAATTATAAGTATGGATATTTGCATAGAAACAGATACTGCTGCCTTCCCTGTCCTCTTCTAAGACAGGGAGAGGAACCTTGTTTTTCTAATGCAAACAAATTTTCTCAGGGAAGAGAAAGGAAAAAGTCTCTACTCTGAAGTGCAAGTATTTGGCTCTGGGTAAGATAAGTTTACTTATCCTTTGAATAGGAGCAGATGGCTCCATTACAAAGGAAAAAAGTGGCTCCAGGTCTATCATCCTTAGAATGTGAGGAGCAAATGTGTCTGGGGAAAAGAGAAATGCTCCATTGTTACATAGCATGCCAATTTTCTTTGTTCCAAGCAGGAACGTGGAAATATTCATATTGCTTTTCAATCACTATGATGAAAATAAACAACTATAGGCTGCTGACAAGTGATGCACCTTAAATATAAGACCACAAAAAGGACAAAAGGAGAAGAATGGAAAAAAATATGCTATGCAAACACTAACCAAAAAAAGATAGTATGGTTATACTATCTTTAGACAGAGTAGACTTTGAGGCAAGAAGAGTTGACAAAGAAAATGAAATATGTTTTACAATAACAAAAAAATATAAAAACCTATATTATACATTTTATAATAAGAAAAGGATCAATCTACTGGGAAGACATAAAAATTTTATCTGTGTATCCACCTCATAACATGGCCTCAAAATGTAAAATGCAAAATTTGGAGCAAGGAAAAGTAATTTCATATATTTTTCCCAGTAACTGGTAGAATAAGCACATAAAAATAACACAAAGGATATAGAAGATTTGAAAAATATACTTAATAAACCTAAATTAATTAAAATATATAAAAATACTATACCTCACACCCACTTGGAGCCAAGGTAAAGTAACCAGTACCAGATATACCCTCCTACCGAAAATAACTAAGAATTTTAAGAAAATTCTACTTTCTTATTTATGAAACAATGTTTCTTAAAACTTTGGACATTAAACAACAAAGAACAGTGATTTCTGAGAGATGGGAAATAAAGGAGGTAAGTGAACTCTACAGCTGCCCTTGGCTCATTGCCTAAAGAGAGTTTCCAGGCTGTGGTGCAAGGAGGGGAACCCAGGTAGAGTCCAGTGATCTCTGAATTGAGGGGATAGATCCAAGAGTCAGAGGAGACCAGAGCAGTTACAGTTCACTCATACCACAGCTCACTAATTCTCTCTTTTTATTTTTTTAGTCTTATTCTATTTCTGTATTTCATTTACCTGTGTATCCACCTCATAACATGGCCTCAAAATGTAAAATGCAAAATTTGCAGCAAGGAAAAATAAATAATTTCATAGCAATAGTAGAAACTATTGCTACGTCTTCAGGTTTCCTAATATTTTCTTGTACAATGTCTAAGCTATCATAATTTTATTCAGTGTATTTTTTATCTCAAACGTTGCAGTTTTCATCTCTAGAAGATCAAATTGAGTCTATTGTTATCTTTTATGCCTCCACTTTACATGGCATAATATTTCTTTTAGCTTTTTGAACATATGGAATGTAGTTATAACAAGTGTTATTATGCCCTTTTGTACTAATTCTACCATCTGGATCAATTTTCATTGATTTTTCTCCCCATTATGGGTATAATTTTACTGCTACTTTACACAGTTGGTTTTTTATGGGATGCCAAGCATTATAAATTTTATCCTGTTTGGTGCTGGATATTTTTGTATTCCTATAAGTATTCCTTAGATTTTTTTCTGAGATGCAGTTAAAATATTTGAAAACAGGTTGACCTTTTTGAAGCTTGCTTTTCAGCTTTGTTAGATAAGACTAGAGCATCATTTATTCTAGGGTGAATGTTCTCCACTACCAAGGCAAAACACTTCTGGATTCTGTCCCTGATGCTCCATGAATTATGGTTTCCACTTTGTATAGTGGGAATAGGCACCACATCAGTCAAGTATGAGAGCCATAAATTGTCCTATCTAATCTTTTCAGGTATTTCTTTCCCTGGCCTCAGGTAGTTTTCTCAAATGCATGCTCTTAGTAGTATCCAGATGAACAGTTAAAGAAGACCCTTTGCAGATTTTTGAAGTTCTTTCTATCTTTCATGTGACTCTCTCCTCTCCTTCAGTTAGACTGCAGTAAGTTAGAAATGTATACCATAAATCCTTAAGAAAACATTAAAATGACAAAACAAAGAGTTATAACAAGTCAATGAAAGTAATAAAATGAAATAATAAAAATACAAATAATAGCAGACATCTTAGGCAAATCTAATACAATAATATATAAAAAGGATAATACATCATGACTGGGAACTTGAGGTTGGTTTAATATTCAAAAATTACTATAATTCACCATGCTAACAGACAAAAAAAAATGATATAATCCTCTCAATAGATACAGAAAAAGCATTTGACAAAATTTAATGATCATTTCTTATTTTAAAAGCCCTCAAAAAACTGGGAATCAAAGAGAACTTCCTTACCCTGATAAAGTCCATCTGTAATAACCTACACCTAATATCACACCTGAAGCAAAAGTCAAGTACAAATGGCTTTACCAGTGGATTCTACCATGCATTGAAGAAACAAATAATGCCAATCCTATACAAACATAGATGCAAAAATTCAAAACAAATTATTAGCAAATTGAATCCAGCAATTTATAAAAAGAACAATACATTACAATTAACTTGGGCTTATTCTAAGAAAGCAAAGTTTGTTTACTACTTGGAAATTGATCAGTGTAATTGATTGTAATTCACCAATTAGAACGATGAAGAAGAAAAAAAATTACATAATTATCTCAATAGATATAGGAAAGTCATTTGATAAAATTCAATACCTGTTCTTGTTTAAAATTAGAAAGGAATAAAAACTTAGCAAATTAATGACAGAAGGAAACTTCCTTAACTTCAGAAAGGACAACTACAAAAAAATTGCAGCAAATACCATTCTTAATGATAAATATTGAAAGACTTACCCTTGATATCAGGAGTGATGCAATGATGTTCATTTTCACCTTATTCAACATCATATCGCAGGTCTTATATAGTGCAGGGCAAGAGGCAGAGGAGGATAAAATAATTGAAAATAAATAAATAGGATAATCTTGTGGTTCATAAGCATGATGATTGCCTTTTCACACTCGTATGAGATGAACTTCGTTATGATGTTGGCACATTCCCATCTGATGTGAAAAAGAAAAATAAAGAAAATAAATAAATAAATAAATCTGTCACTTTGTGTATTTGAAAACTGAAAATAATGTACAAATAAACTGATAGTTAAATTAATTTAACCAAGTCAAATAAGGTTACAGTTCAATATGCAAAAATTAATTGTATTTCTATACACAACAAACTTTTTTAAAAAAAAATTACAAAATATCCCTCTCTATAGCATCAAAACATAAGTACCCTAAAATAAATACAACAAAATATGTGCAAAACCTGAAGACAAAAAACCAACATGCCTGATTAAGATAAATTAAAGAAGACCAGAATTGGTGGGGTAAGACAACATAGTTATAGATTGAAAAAATCAATATCATAAATGCGTTAATTCTCCCCAAACTGATATAAAATTCATTGCCATTACAATCAAATTTTTCAACTTTTAAAAATATTTTGTAGACATTGACAAACTGAATCCAAAATTTGTGTAAAAGTGCAAAGTTTTTTTTTTTTTTTTTGAGACGGAATCTCGCTCTGTCGCCCAGGCTGGAGTGCAGTGGCCGGATCTTACAGGCTTGAGGCATCGCGCCCGGCCGATGCCACCGGTTTTTTTTGTTTGTTTTTGTTTTTGTTTTTGTTTTTTAATCTTGTTTTTGTTTTTATCATTTTAATGTCTCACCTGAAACTGGGGAAGGTGAGGAAGATGCAAGAGGATATAGAGTATATTAAGGGTCTCGATCTCCTGACCTCGTGATCCGCCCGTCTCGGCCTCCCAAAGTGCTGGGATTACAGGCTTGAGCCATCGCGCCCGGCCAAAAGTGCAAAGTATTAAAATAGCTAGGAGAATCTTGAGAAAGAGTAGCAAATTTGGAGGTCTTAAACTATGAGATATTAAGATAGATTATAAAGCTCCTGTAATTAAGACGCTTGTGGAAAGGGCACAAAGTTAGCCAATGCACAACAGAACACAAGAGAGAACCCTAAAACAGACTAATGTGTGCTGTCATTTGCCTTATCACAAAGGTAAGATGACAGAACAATGGGAAATAGTCTTTTAAAGAAATGAAACTTAATCAACTGCATATTCATACAGAAAAAAATAATTTGACCCCTACCTCACACCATACACAGAATCAATTTTGGATGTGTTGTAAACAAAAAAGTGAAAAGTAAAGCAATAAAGCTTTCAGAACATGGGAGAACATGTTAATGGCTTCAGAGTAGGCAAATATTTCTTAAACAGGTCACAAAACACATTAATCATGAAGAAAACTATTGGTAGTGGCTGTTATCAAAATTTAAAACTTCTGTTTATCAGATGATACCTTAAGGGTGAAAAAGCAGGCTGGGTGCAGTGGCTCATGCCTATAATCTCAGCACTTTGGGAAGCCAAGGTGGGCGGATCATGAGGTCAGGAGATCGAGACCATCCTGGCTAACATGGTGAAACCACATCTCTACTAAAAATACAAAAAATTAGCCAGATGTGGTGGTGGACACCTGTAGTCCCAGCTACTTGGGATGCTAAGGCAGAAGAATGGCGTGAACCCAGGAGGCAGAGCTTGCAGTGAGCCGAGATTGCACCACTGCACTCCAGCCTGGGCAAAAGTGCGAGACTCTGTCTCAAAAAAAGAGTGAAAAAGCAGTTCACATAGTAGGAGAAGGTATTCACACTATATACTGTGAATAAACTCATGTCCAACATATATAAAGGAATTCTATAATCAGTAGGAAGAAGTACACATATTTCATATTTTCCAACAGAAAAATGTGAAAAATATGAATAGGTACTGCGCAAAGGATGATATGCGTGTATGCAAAAAACCTATGAAAAGACATTCAATTTCATTAGTCATTAGGGAAATGTAAATTAAGAAACCACAATGAATTATTACTACACACTCACCAGAATAAAAAAATTTAAAACACTGATAATAACCAAGTATTGGCAAAGATGTGGAGCAAATGAAACTTTTATAGATTGCTGGTATAAGCATAAGTTGGTAAAACCACAAGTTTGCTCCTAAGTATATATCTTAGGAAATGTCATGTAGAAAATATACGTGGAAATGCATGCATATGTGTACCAAATAACATTCCTAATAGCAACACACTGGGTCAGGGCAGGAGGAGTCCATCAATAGTAGAATGGATAAACGAAGTGTGATATACTCACACAGTGGAGTAGTACACAACAAACAAAAATAAATGAATTAGTGCTACTACATACAACAGCACAGATTTACCTTATAAATATAAAATGGAACAAAAGAAGTCACACAGAGAAGAGCACACACTGCATGATTCTATTTGTATAAAATTCAAAAGTAGGCAAAACTAATCTGTAGCAATGGGAGTCAGAATAGTGGCTATGTTTAATGGGGTTAATGACTACAAAGGAATGACAGAAGTTTGGGGCTACAGGTAATAATGTTTCCTGATCTGGATGATAGTTGTTTAAATGACAGTAAAAATTTGTGGACTTGTACACTTGTAATTTGTGCATTTCTTTGTATGCATTTTATACTTTAATTTTGTAAACACTTGCCAAAAATAATAAAAAAGGTTATAAACATCAACCATAGCATGATTCTATATATGTAAGTTTGTATAAATAATATGTACTAAGCATAATATATAAAACTATATCGAACAAAATGCTAACAGTAATTATACCTGGGTGTTGGTTTATGAGTCATTTTCACTTTCTTCTTTGTACCTTTTTGTATTGTCTGAATACTTTCAATGAAAATGTATTGCTTTCATAAAAGCTAAAATAAAGTTCACATTTTCAGATGGTTAAATGGTATTGTGGTTATGTTTAAAGAGTAAGAGTTCTTATCTCCAAGAAACACATAATTGAAGCATTTATAGATGAAATAATATAATGTCTAGCAGGGGGTAGGGAGAAGCAGGAAACATAGATTTTTTTTTTAATGGCCATATGTTGGTAATTGCTGAGACTGAGTGACAGTCCATGGGGATTCATTATACTTTTTCCTCTACCTATGTGTGTTTGAATAATAAAGACTTGAAAAACAAATAGTATTTCATAAACATAGAGCTTATGCATGGCAGACATTACCCATAGCAAAAGCTATGCATAATCTGTATACAGCCAGAGAGAAGATGGATTATTAGAGAACATTTTCTCAATAACTGGGTGGAGGGCAGCTGGATTCCACCAAAAAATGTCATGGAGACTGTGTTCATGCCTTGTTAAAGGTCCTCTGGGATCCAAGCCTTGTTCAAGAGTCCAGCCTCATAGAACAACTGCCCCAAAGAGAGGAAACTACTCATGGGACCATAGCCTCCCACCAACCTAGAAAGGATCTAAGCCCCAATGGAAAGTGCAGTCACACAGAAGATGGACCACCAATACCTGAGCCTTCTCTAGGGCTTTTCTAAAAGAAGACAAAGGGCAACTTATTTCACAGAGAATCAGAACCTACCTTAGAAGTTTCTTGCCTTCTTTTTTTTTTTTTTTTTTTTCTTTTTGAGACAGAGTTTCACTCTTGCTGCCCAGGCTGGTGCAATAGCACGATCTCGGCTCACTGCAACCTCTGCCTCCTGGGTTCAAGTGATCCTCCTGCCTCAGCCTCCCAAGTAGCTGGGATTACAGGCGTCTGCCATCATGCCCGGCTAATTTTTGTATTTTTAGTAGAGATGGAGTTTCACCATGTTGGTGAAACAAGGCCAGGCTGGTCTTGAACCCCTGATGTCACATGATCCACCCACCTCAGCCTCCCAAAGTACTGGGATTACAGTCATGAGCCACCGTGCCCGGCCCGTTTCTTGCCTTCTTAACTCTGGGAGTAAGGTATCAGGACAGGAATTGTTGAGGAGATGGAGAGAAGAGAGTCTTATTGCCTTAGATGAAAACGCTGCTGTGAGTTCTGGCCAGACTAGAGGCCCTTGGGTGCTGTCTACAGTGGCCCTGAGATCCTCGCTCAGATTATCTGATTGGCTCTGGTCCTAACTTTGGTCTACTCTTTGGTCACCTAAGCTTGATCCAGCCTTGATCTGAGTACAACCATACCTCAAATTGTCTTTTTGACCAACCTTGCGTTGACATTCTCAGATGCTATAGTCTTTTCTATAACCTCTTTTGGCTAATGGATAAAAGTACCACTAGCTGAGTTTGCAACAGATTTCAAGCACAGGTCAAAGACCTTAATTCCTTTTGGAAAGGGATGTTAAGTAGGAGGAGTCAGTAAGGCACCTGAGAAACCTTCTAACTAGGGAAACGCCTGCCATGCTTCACAAAAACAAGAATTAAGCTGCTGCCTAAAATTTATGTTTCACTTTGGCTTTTAATCTGGGAACAACCTGGATGTGAGGATTGATCAAGGACAGCAAACTAAGGCATTCTCTAGAACAACACTGTCCAATTGAAATATAATGCCAACTACAAATGTGAACCACATACGTAATTTTACATTTTCTCATAAGCAATTTTATTTATTTATTTATTTATTTATTGAGACAGAGTCTCGCTCTGTTGCCCAGGCTGGAGTGCAATGGTGCGACCTCGGCTCACTGCAACTTCTACCTCCCAGGTTCAAGTGATTCTCCCACCTCAGCCTCCCAAGTAGCTGGGGTTGCAGGCACCAGCCATCATGCCCGACTAATTTTTGTATTTTTGTGGAGATGGGGTTTCACCACATTGCCCAGGTTGGTCTTGAACTCCTTACCTCAGGTGATCCGCCCACCTCGGCCTCCTAAATTGCTGGGATCACAGTTGGGAAACACCACATCCAGCCTCATAAGCAATTTTAAAAGCAAAAAGAAGCAGGTGAAACTAATACAGTAGTATGTTCTTTAGTCTAACATATCCAAAATATTATTATTTCAATATGTAATAACCATAAAAAAGTTAATGGAACATTTTACATCTCTTTTGTACTATATCTTTGAAACCCAGTGTATATTTTATACTTGGGGTACATTTCAATTCAGAATAGCCATATTTCAATAACCCAATAGCACATGTGGCTAGTA